AAAGAAAAATTACATAAAAACTGATTACTTGAAATACGCACAAGACAATTCTTGCAACTCACGCAACATCGATTCGAGTAAAAGAAATCATGTGGGATATTATTATCGAATCGATTTTCTCCGTGCATCACTTCAGAAATGTACATCTCGAGATAACGATATACAGTAGCTCATAATGCATAACCGAAGTGGTAACCCAAGCGGAAATATAAACCAAGTTTCGCGTAAAATATAGGTTCATACATACATACATACATACATACATACATACATACATACATACATACATACATACATACATACGTATACACCGCAAGCAAAATACAGCGTAACCCCTTGCCCTACCACGTCTTCCACAAGTGAGCTCGTTAAAACGGCTTTATCCATAATAATTTCTTAAACGAAAAAGAATTCCATGCTCGCACTAGAGTAATTCCGGGTGAGATGGCCTTACGAGCAGGGATTTAAACAGTTCTGATGTCGGTTTCAGTTCTTGAAACAGTTACGAAGAATCGAAATAAGTCATAAGTGTTGTTCGGTATATCGGTTCTGAGCTATATCGAGTTCGATTCCGGTTCTTCAGAATCGATGTATAATAATGATAAATCATAAATGAAGAACTGAAAACTAACAGTTACTGAACCGACATAATAATTAAAATTATGACTTAATTCGGTTCTTCATAACTGTTTTAGTCGGAAGCGATATAGAACAGTTTCAAACAGTCATCTCTGGAACCTTTTTAATTCTTGCATGCGGGTGAGATGGCGTGATCTCATTTTAATTGTAAAATGTCTATATTTTCAATTATTTTTAATGATATATTGAATTTTGTGCACAGATCTGTCTAACTATTCTTCTTATTTGTTTTCATTTGAGAAGCAACGTAAGTTATGCATAATGTAACTACTGAATACTCTTAAAAATTTTCTTTACGTTCTTTAAATCATAATTAACTAATATTTGATCGAAAGAAAATAACTTTTTCAGAATATAGTGTGTTAATATAATGTTTTAAGGTTACGATTACATTCTTATAACGAGATGTCATCATTACGGAAAGAAGAAGTGAGTAATCACTCCTGGACTTCGGGTTAGATGGCCCGGTATTTTTAGGGGCTGGTCCATCACAAAATAGTGTATAATAGCTAGTATATGTTTCTCTACAGAATTATGCCAATTGAATACAAAGAAAATGCTAATAGTAGATAATTATGGGGACACGAAGAATTGCTAGATGCAGTAGAAGCAATTCAAAATGTCAAAATGAACGTCGATACAGCGTCGAGAGTTTTTACATTTCGGCATTTCTTATTAAAAGGCAAATGAAAAATAAATGACTATTCAAAGAAAACTTTAGTGCCATCTTCACACAGTGTTAGGTATCCAAAGTAAAGAAAAACTTAAAATACACATTAAAAAATTGGCATACAATTTGACTGAAAATTTGGAAATAAATCCAAAATTTTGCAAGGAAAACGGATTAATTGAATATGATGGACTACATATGTTTTTAAAACGTCATCCAAATCTCAGTGTCCGAAAATCGGAAGACGTTTCTTTGTCTCGGTATCAGGATATCAATGGATTGGAAATTCATTCGTATTTTGAATTATTATTAGAATAAATATTATAAGAAAATAATCAATAATGTGGAAAAAATTTACGTAAAAACAAGAAATAATCCATTTTTCGTAACTTAAAATATGAATTTTTCATCTGAACCACCTAACCCGGACACTCCTAGTAAGATAGCCTTTATGTAGCCTTTATGTTCAAGTGTCATTTCCTTTTTTTTTGTAAATTTATAATTGTTCATTTATTTTTATTATAAATATATATTAACTTCCATAAATATATATTTTTTCCGAAGCATCAATGATATTTATGTTGTAATAAGTCATACCCTATATCTATGTACATATACCTACTCCAAACAGTTGATAATAAAAAAATAATGTTCCATTTCAATAAAAAATTTTTAAAAATCGATTGACATTTACGTTTTCTAATTCCTGTTTGATATTTTCATTGCAATATTATACGGCAAAGGAGTTAATACAACAGGAGGTTGTTTTAAATGCAGGCAATGTATTCATTTTCTATTTACGATAATTCCGTTTGATGGAAACAGCAACTCGTCCTTGAACTGTGATCCGCGTAAATACCCCTAGGGTTTTAAAAAACAACCCATCAGGGTCCGAAATGTTCTCGGTTTTTTACTCCGGAGATTATATAAACGTTATTTCATCCAACAATAGTTTAATACGACATTTTTCTAATATACTTGAAAATATTTGACTAACACTGAGGTTTTGTATGTCACAATTATGATATTACAAGTATAAAAATATACAGAGAGTATAAAGTTAATGGTTAAACAAGAAAAATGCACGTTATATAGAAAACACTTTGAACCCCATGAAGTATAAGGACAATTAATCAAATGACAAAAACCATGAAGATCACTTGAATAAAGAGTCAGAAGACTTCCTTCGTTATAGTAAACTAATTAGTAAATTGTTTAAAAGAACGAGAAAAGTAAAAGATACAAAGTATCATCCTTTTAAGAAAAAGTTATGATGCATAATTTTTAATGAATAATTTTTTAAACCACCCTAATTTCAAAAATAAAACCAAATTTAAATGCTACAAATTATACCAAATTTTTCTTTCTTTTTTTTCTACAAATCGGTAAAGGTTGTGTACATCGGAAAATTTCTGCCGGCAGTACGCATTTACGAAAAAGACGATCAAGATGAGCGTGTAAATGATTTTTGAAAACAAGTTTATAAATAAAAAGAAATGTTTACTCTTACTATTAAAAATTATGATCTTATAAATTTCAGCGAGTAAACAAATTTAATAACGTGAAGAAATTTAAATGAGGATTTTCTATAAAATATCACTTACATGGAACTCAAAATCTCAACTTCGAAGCAAGCGTCCGTTTTTCACATGGTACGTCGCAATTGATCATTTTTTTAAATAAGTCTATATCAAGATAGCAATTTCGCGTATCCTTTACTGTTTAGTAGCAAATATGAAAAATTCTTTCTAAATCACAGTACCATATATGTCACTGTATCGTAAACAGCAGTATTTCGACACGAACTGAAAACTGACGTATGGAATTCATTCGCACATACCTAATAGGACAATGTTTACATTCCGTTCTGAGAAAATTCCGCAAGTTCAATACGATCATGCAAACTGACACAAGCAGTACTTTTATACGTATGTATGTATCACTGAGCTCAAAATTACCATAAATTATCATTATTTTATTTATTAATCTTGTTTATTACATATGTGTTGTAACATATTAATGTTACAATTAGAAGAATTATCTGATTTGTTGAAACCAATGAAAAATACACGAGTATTGTACTTTAATAGAAAGAATTAAATTAGTATTCAAAATTTAAAATCCCAGTATTTCGAATGTGAAAACACATGACTTATATCGTTTTGCGTTACTACCACGGATAGAACGCGTCTAAACTTAACAAGAAGCCGCTAAATGTCATGCAGTAACTGCTGCAGTAACGCGACTGTTTATTTCAAGCGTTGAAATCGTACTGATGATGACTGTTTCGATTTTAATCCGAATGGTTCCAAACTGTTGAAAAATTAAAAAGAACATTGCTACACGATGAAATTCGTCGAAAATCAAACGACTGCCTAAGATAAAAGGCAACGCAATGCATCTTCTAACCTAACTTCCTTGATTTACCCGCTAAGCACGTTTCAAGAATTATTCGGTTAGATCAGTGCTCTCTTTGTCAGGATATCATATCGAAATAGAAATGAAAAAAATGAAACTTTTTAACAAATATATATTTTTCCTGATTTGGTTACCGCAAACAATTACGTTACACGCGTTCAATTACACGCGACAGTCGCGACAACGAGGCACAGTTGTACTCCTCACGCCTGCAAGATACAATGTACTCCACCATTGGAAATCATATAGTGCAATGCTAAATTTTGTAAACAAACTAAGCATCAGCTGATTGTGTTACCATAACCGCAATGGCTGCTATTGATCTCGTGAGCAAGCTCTTTCGCACGCGCGTGCTACGTTGAAAACCCCTTCCTACCCGTTCCACACGCACGCGATTAAATCTCGTTTAATGTCTACACGCCTCGAGAACGACAAATATTCACGAAGAAAGTATCTGCTGTTTGTACTCACCAAGTATCAACCTGCCAATCTGGAGCGAATGCTAAAAAACTGCGATGCACTGCATTGTACGCACGGAAAACAATAAACTTGCAAATAAATTAGCCGAAAAAAACAACACCACAGAAAATATTTAATCGCGAGTAAAAGAATTATTGATGCAGAGGATATAAGAAGTGACACACATACGGAGAACGTAAAGTTTCGAGAGGTAGGAAAAGAAAGTAATAATGCAACGAGGAGACCGATACGTATTTTGACCGTGTCTCAAGTCCAGGGTGAATTGTGATTAGTTGCGCATGTGTATCGACGCAACCCTTCTTTCAGAACTTTCATTGGTCGCGTTGAGAGACAGGGGCGACACAATTCAGGATGCGAAGTAGGGAAAAAATAAAAATCATTATACTTAATGGAAAATAACATTCTTTGTATTTTCCTTTTTTTTCTTCTTCGCTTCTCTTTTTTAATATAAATAATATAAAACTCGTCACCTATTTATTACAAATAATAACGACAGATTACAGTATATTTAATTATATGATTAATGTCAATGTTATTGTAAATAAAATCAAATTTTTCAAATTCTTTTAATAATGTTATATATTTTGCATATCATATACCTACGTAAAATATGTAAACTTATAATTCTTGTAAATATAAATTATAATTCCTCTTAAATGCTACATCTCATTAAATGAACCGTTTATTTTGAAAGCGGTACAAGTCCGCATAGAAAAGATTAAAAAACTATTAAAGTGTTAAAAGATTATGTAGAAAAATGGACTTAAGCCACTTTCAAAATAAACGGCTCAAATAGCATTAAAAAAATTTTTCTTTAAAACTAAAGATTTCAAACGTGGATATTATAAAAATATATTTCCCATTACTATTTTATATTTTTATTCTTAACCATATTTAAAGTAATTTAGATTATACAGTTTGATTTAACAGCATGATTTAAATCAAATAAAATCTTATGCGTTTGATTATACGTTGCGCGGCAATATAACAACGCGTCCTATAGGTTTAATACTTTATGCTAAATACAAGCGTTTAAAATATTCAAACCATCTTATTATTACATATACGGTTATTGAGACTTCGGCTAACAATTATTTATTACATATATCCAAATGAAAAAATTTCACCAATTGTGCGCTTGTACAGGTATTAACAAATTGGCAAAGAAAATATTATCAATTGAGCTAGAATTAAGTACTGTAAAAGATCAAAATAAAATATCTATCAAACAGTCAAAGTTATATTAATTTAACACGTTAACGGCCATGAAAATTTTAAGTGTTTTACACAGCACTTATTCTTTCGTAGCAAAGATAAATAAAAATAGTTACTAATTAATTAACTTACTTAAGTGATTAAACATTTTGATTCGATATTAGCCATCTTACATATTATAATTGTTTTCAAACAATTCAGAAGCGTCGGTCATTAATAACCACTATGACAATCAATGTATTAAGAAATATATAAATAAACAAATACACTACATCAATTGCAAGTGAAAATGTTTATTCCTGGAAAATAAGCGTAAAAAAGATTATTTCGACCAATAAACAAATATTTTAGAGTAGTTCTCGAAATGTCTTCATCTGAATATTGTATATAAAAATAATGTATATAAAACTATATAAAAAAATTATATAAATCACTTTTAAACGTTTGATGAATGTTTTACAAAATAAAGGACTACATAATTTGAAATATCTTTAATTTTTATTATTTTATTATGTGCTTAAATGATAGAACTTTTTCCCCTAATTTTTTATTGTAATAGATTGTAAATATATAATCAAATTCTTTAAAAATGAATAGTCAATAAATTCAGTATGTAAAAATTATGCAAACATTACATAACATTAAATTGTCTTTTGTCGCGAAATATGGCATACACATTTAAAATTTGTTCATCGGTTTTACTACAAAATTTATAGAGAGTGTTTCATTTCCGAATCCGCTAATACGACTTGTCAGTAACGCTAACCTAGCAAACTCTGTTCTAGACGCGTCTTTTACCGATATGTCAATTTATTTATTATCTTTTATCAAATAAATAAATCATTTTTTTCTTCCTTTGAAGTTACGTACAAGAGGTACTATCAGAAATTGTAGTTACTAGCGTCACCTGTGATACTAAAGTTTTATTACTGTGAATGAACGTGCGTGAACTGTTGACACTGTATGAAAACAATGTAGAAAAACATTAATTCAATTTAATTATAACATATTGTTAAAATGTCAGACGAATCAGAATACGACGTAGAGCCAGAAGAAATTGATGTTTACAAACGAAAGTACCAATTATTGCTAGATAGATGTGAAGTTCTACAACAGGTTCATATAATTTCTGTAATCAAAATTTCTCATATCTTTTTTGCATTCCCTTGTTAAATTATATTTAATTGCAGGAAAATGAAAGGCTGGTTTATCGAATTCAAAAAGTGAGGAATCTTCTCAAACGTACAAGGAAGGAAAAAAAGTTAGTTTGATTTTTAGGTTATGTATTTAAATATGCCACTGACATGTCACCCGTTATATTAAAGTAGCCTAAAACCAATCTTCTTTAGTGAGTAATCACCTATAATGGTTTTCATATAATATGCTTAGAACAAATATTTCATATGTTACAGATTTTTAATTGATCGTTTAGATCAGCATGGTGATCGCTGGCGAGAAGCACCTATGGGAGTCCTTGAAGAAAATAACGTTTTTCAAGCCACGTCTAAACAAGAAAAAGGCACTAAAGCCACTGCTCACAATTCTAAAGATGAACGGACCAAAAAAGGAACCAAAAGAAAAGGTGCAAAAACTGACCCAAATGCACCAAAAAGACCAGCGAATCCATTTTTCCAATTCTGTCAAGAACAAAGACCTCGTGTAATGGAACGTTTAGCTGGGGAACCAGAACCAAGCAAACAAGAACTCACTAGACAACTTGCAACTACTTGGAAGTCTCTTAGTTCGGAAGACAAAAAAGTTTGTATTAGAGAAACAGTTATTTACATTTGTGCATATATTATTTTTTTAATGAAATTTTGAAAATTTTGAAACCATTGAAATTTTTTTCAGGTTTATTATGACATGTATGAACGATCCAAAGAGAAATATGTTGCTGAAATGCAAATTTATAATAAAAAATCTGAAGATGCACCAAATCAAATGTCTTTAAATATAACGTAGTACTCCTATTTAAGATAAATGTAATTTGTAAATACGTAATTTAGAATTAAATACTTGCACATATGCCAATATTTATGTATAGCAATTCAAAATAAAATATAAGATTAACAAGAGTCTGTTCATGTACTTTAGTACATGATAGGAACAGAAATTTTGTTTAGAACAAATATTTTGTATTGTCAAATGAAACAAATATGTAAATATTGTTGTCTCTTTTATGACAGTAATAAATTATGCTTTGAAATTATCTTTCTCCTGTCTAAGGATTGCCATAGTCTGAATTGGATCGTTTTGTTTAGTATGATCCATTACTGACTGTTCGTGTACCCTCATAAATGGATTTGTTAATTTTTCTTCTAGAATAGTACTGGGCACAGTTGGACAAAACTCTTTACGCTGTATGCAAACTGATTGTATTTTTTCATTAATAGCTTCATTTTGTGGTTCTACGTATTTTCCAAACTTCAAATTATTGTCTGTATATTCATGGCCACAATATACTTTCTGCGAAGTATCAAAATATATTTTTTTTATATAAAAATATTGCAAGTATGAAAATAGATATGTATGTCTGTATGCTTACAGTTTCATCGGGTAATGATCCCAAAACCTGTATGAGTGCTTTATACATTTGTTCTGCAGTTCCTTCAAAGAACCTACCACAGCCACCAGCAAACAGTGTATCTCCTATTCAGTGATATCAATTACTTTTTAGTACACTTACATAAAAATTAATATGTAATTTATTCATTTACCAGTAAATACTGCTGGAGGATCTTGATCTCCTGTAATATAGTAACAAATATGTCCTGTGGTATGACATGGTGTTGCAAGACATTGGACTTTAAGTCTTCCAATATTGAAAGTATCATCGTGTTTTACTAATTTTGTAAGTGCACCTATTCTATCATCACCACCATACACTTGCAAGTTATTCATTTGTTTGAATAACTTTACATTTCCTCCAGCATGGTCCCAATGATGATGGGTTGTTAAAACCTTTGTTAATTTTACATTATTTTGTTGAACAGCAGACAAAACTGCCTCAGGATCTACAGGATCAACAATTGCAGCTTCCTGTGTCGCTTCATCAATAATCTTCCAAAATTGAAACAGAAGGTTAAATAAGTAACAATGAAAAAATTAAAAAAGTAAAAAGAAACAAATAAATACACACAAGATACATATAATTATCTTGTAGCGCTGGCAATATTTGAACCTTCATATTGGGGTGTTGAATTAACGTGGCACGTCTATGTGATGCATAAAAACCATTCGTTGATATACTTTTTGCTATAAAAATAAAATAGAGAAATTGAAATTTTATCTTATATTACAACAATAACGGTACATTTATCTTGCAAGAAAACCAGATGGTTGATATTAAATGTTTAATAGCTAAAAGTATATCACTTATTATTTTTATTAAAGAGATTAATTTATATTATTTTTAATAAAAAGATATCTGAAACATTATTGCATAAAAAATAATTACATATACCATATGTCATGATATATTATAAAAGATTTTTTGTGCAAAAATATTATAATAATTTAATTTTAAAAAACCATATTTTAACTAAATCGTTAGTTTTCACAATTTAAAATAGAAGCTGATAGAAAATCTTAATGACAACTGAAAAAATTCTATAAAAAAGGTTAATTATTCAGAGATATATTTCACAAGGTCATGAAGATATAATGGAGCAAAAATGCATGCAACGTGATCAGTAAAATATTATAAATATTGACAACCTCCGAAGTACAAAAATGTTAATGTATTTTCAAGCCAAGGACTTGCACGAAATATTGCAGTCAACATATTCGCTAGTGCGTTTATACTTAATCAATTTAAACTCAACTCCATATGTCTTTTACGATTAATGGTTTAACACCAACCAGAACGTGGAAGACTTCTTGTCTCATATACGTAGTACTGTCACGAGAAATGGTCAACTGAGCACTAGTGTACGATACGATGTAATACCGGCAAAAAGCATAGGTTATGTGCAGCGCCGTATCTATCACTGTTAATATATGAATGCATGTTATGTGATACATAACAAATCTAATCTATATTTGTAATTATTTATTAGTGTACTAGACTAATTTTTAATTTAACATTAATTTACATAAAAATTGTATAATTTATTTACGATGTCTGCGAGTAGTTCGAAAGATATTATAACAATAAATGATGACGAATATCAAGGTCTGTCATTAAATTTAAAATAAATATATAAATTACAAATATGAAAAATTCTGTAAATGATTATTGATATAGACATTTCAAATTAACGTATCTATAAATTTCTAAATGAATTTTTTTATTTTGCATTTCTAATTTCCATTGTATTCATTATTACAGCTAAAAAATTATATTTATTTAATTATTGTTTTCAGCTACTGAAGAAGATGAAATTGCTGCTATTGATTATGAATTAAAGCAAATTGAAAATGAAATGCAAAAGCTTGAAGACCGCAAAAAGATTTTAACTGAACGCAAAGAGAAATTAAGAGATGATGCACTTTTAAAGAAGAGTTTATCTATATCAAGAAAAGACTGGTATAAAGAGAATTTCAGTTGGTCAAAGGATCTTAAGACAGCTTTAAAAGATATTTTTAAAATTGAAAAATTAAGAGAATTACAATTACCAACAATGAATGTAGTCATGTCTAAAGAAGATGTTATTTTAGTTATGCCCACAGGTGGTGGTAAAAGTTTGTGCTATCAATTACCTGCTGTTATTAGCAAAGGTATCACAATAGTAGTGTCACCATTAGTATCATTAATGGAGGATCAGTTGCATGGATTGCAAAAGATTAATGTGAAAGCTTTGATGTTAAGTGCAAAAAGTAATAAGGAAAATGTAAAAGTTATAATGAATGCACTTATAAGTAAGAAGTCAGATCTCAAACTAATTTATGTTACTCCAGAATACATGGCAAAGTCTAATCGTTTTATGAGCAAGTTACAAAAAGCTTTTGAACTTAATCAATTAGAATGTTTTGCAATAGACGAAGTTCATTGCTGTAGTCAGTGGGGACATGATTTTAGACCAGACTATAAATTTTTGGGAATTTTAAAATCTATGTTTCCAGGGGTACCAATTCTTGGATTAACTGCCACTGCCCCAGCAAAGATTATTGTAGATGTTCAAAAAATTTTAGATATCCAAGGTTGCTTAGTTTTAAGAGCTACATTTAATAGGCCTAATTTATTTTATGAAGTTCGTCGTAAACCAGCAGATAAAGATGCATGTTTAGCTATGATAGGAAATTTATTAAAAAACAGATTTAAGGATAAATCTGGAATAATTTATACAACAACCATTAAGGATGCAGAACAATTGACAACAGATTTAAGGTCATTAGGTGTAAAAGTTGGATGTTATCATGCAATGTTGGAGGCAGATTATAGATCAGAAGTATATTCCAAATGGATATCTGGAAAATACCAGGCTGTAGTTGCTACTATTGCCTTTGGATTAGGTATTGATAAACCAGATGTACGATTTGTTATTCACCACTGTATTTCAAAGTCAATGGAAAACTTTTATCAAGAAAGTGGACGTGCTGGTAGAGATGGAAAGAAATCGGCCTGTATTGTATTATATAGACTACCAGATGTATTTAGATTAAGCACAATGGTATTTCAAGATAAAGTTGGTTTACAAAATTTATACAAAGTATTAGCATACTGTTTAGATCAAGTTTCATGTAGACGCAGCTTAATTGCAACTCATTTTGAAGAAACTTGGAACAAAAGTGATTGTGCGGAAATGTGTGATCACTGTAGGAAGCCTAATGAGAAAAAAGAAATAAATATAGCCCCATATTGTAAACATTTGTATCAAATACTAACAAAAGCAGTACAATGTGAAACAAGATTAACTGCTTTAAAACTTATAGATTCTTGGTATGGTAAAGGTGCACCAACATTACGAGTATCTTCTGTACCAATACCAAAGTTTTCAAGACAGTCAGGTGAAGCTATAGTAGGATATTTACTTGTAAATGGTTATTTGCAGGAAGATTTTCATTTTTCTGCATATTCTACGATATCATATTTGAAACGTGGACCCAAAACAGCCTTAGTACTTGATAATAATCATGAAATACCTTTCAAATATGAATTACAATGATGTATATAATTATATTAGTTATTCTGTGATACAACAAAATCTAATTTCATTAATTAAATAAACAAGACTGAAAACGACTCAGGATGTAAGACAAAGGATTTAGATGTTTTTAACTGTCAGCGACACTATAGGTCAAAGTACAACTTTATTTGAATGCGTACTGCAAGAAAAACATAGTTCTATGTTTTTGTATTAATGATAATATTTATCATAAATAATACATGTACTTCCAAGATTATAAAGGTTTTTATAATTATAAAGGACTGTACAGTGAAAGATATTCTAAAAAACTCAATGATCATTTTTTAACATGTATTTGCAATTTGTAAATATTGTATCAGATAATTCGAACAAATCTATTGTATTCTAAATAAGTTTTTAAATATGCTAAATAAAATGTAAAATGAAAATGTGAAGTACCAGTTTATAACTTGTAAATTACAGAATTGGAGAAAACGTGATTCAAACTTAATACGGAGAAAAAATCAATAAAAACAGCGTATACAACGCTGAGCAACGGTATGTCGGTGGCTCGGATAGTAAGCCACCCACCAGGTTCACGATCAGATGGAAATATTGATCCTGGATAAGGGGCATCTGTGTTCCGTCTGTTGGCAAACACGTTTTACTACATCCTCATTGAGCAGTGTGACTTGAAGTGATATTCAATAACTAATTTATTTATTATCGTTAACATTTTTCTCACGAGCGTGACATGGTGGTGGTCTATTACCAGTGATCATACCGAAAGTTTGTATTTTTTGAACGTGCGTTATTCCTGTATTCATAATTCAATCGCACATACATCGAATAGTGACGTGCCAATAATATTTTTATAATTCATGTTTTTATTTCAATGGAACATGACTTTGGAATATTTTCTTGGAAATGTTAAATATAATGGAATTTTATTCGTCCCTAAAATTCATCAGTATTTGACGAAAGTTTAACAATATGTTACCCTCGTAACAGAAGGGTGACTTCGTGCAGGTAGAAGCCAGGAAGTCATTCATTGATGCATGATTCTCTGTATGTGTACATATTATTATCAGTTCCGTTTATGTATTAAGGCTAATTGGTACGATAAGGCTCGCACACTTAGCAGACCAACAGTAGCAGGAAATATTACGAAAGAAAGAATCAGTTCATCGTATTATTTTGATGCAGATCTATTCGCGCGCTTCTGCGCGACAAAGTTTGACCTCTGGTGTTTCCATGCTGTGTAGAAACGTCGAAGTATTCCATAAAAAGCAACGAAAAGAGCAGAATGTCGTTTTGGAACTTGGTGTTTTAAGTTGTCGCGTGTATATTGTACTCTCAGTTATAAATTCAAAGCAGATCCGCACGGATACGTTAATGAAAAGCTAATTGTACACGATGCTCTGTAATCACTGCAACCATCGTCATTCGGGTCTCCCTGCAAGCCCGTGACAAATGAAAGCTCTGTAACAATTTTTTGACTTCTTATAGCGAAAATCTCCTACAATGTTTTTACAAAATTAGTCAGATGACCTAGATGCGCCAGTACGCTTCAATCGAAAATGCCTCTGCCAAACATCCTGAAAAAGGCAAGCAGTTACATTTTAGGCGATTGTAGTCAGGACAATCGTCGCACTGTGTACCAGGATGGCGAGGCGTTGTTTTGTAAAAATAATGTCTGTGTCCACCCGCCAACGTTGATGAGACAAAACTCCGACGTGGTGCATCATCCTGGATATATGGCGATAACCTGTAGATTCAATAAGAATTCAAATATACCAACGCTGCACCTTAGTTGGATTCCTAACAGCACGCTTCGGAAGCATCCTGCAACATTAGAAAATATAAATGCGAAGAAGCTCGATTCTGCCACACATCGGGACGGTGAGATAGGCAATCACCCATCCCAAATATCCGAAGAAAGCTGTAATTTAAAGAGTGACTATGAACACACCAGCGAGAAGGTCGATGTATGCTTAGAAGTGAAGGAACCTGTAAGTTGTGGAGATTGCGAGCGCGTTTGTTCCGGTGGATTTCCGCGAAATACGGAACCGGAAGCGGAACCGGAACCGGAATCGGAACCTAATGGCATCAACGTGACGAATGATAACAGAGAATATTTGTGTGACGAGCAAACTGTATTTTCATCGGAAGACAAAGAAGCGTCAAACACTGATGATCTTACTCAAAAAGATGTTCAGCCTGACGCTTCACCGTCTGCTATACGCGAAGAGAGCGACTGTAGTATCGGTTTAAACCGATTACGTTCTGAATCCGTGGATGAAAAACACGATGAAAGTCACAATAGCGAGGATGAAAAAGCTGACAAAGTACAAGAAGCTGATAGGAAAAGCGTGGATGAAGAACTTAGATATCCATATTACGATGATGGTAGTCTTAAGAGTCGTAGTATGTCGTTAACTTCCACTTGTAGTCTATCTGTCGGTATGTCGTCAAATGATACTTATTTAATTATATCGACAAATGTACTTCAACTTACATTTGCTCTAGTGCTATATAATGCTGTATCATTTCTTTCAGCTGAAGAAATCCCAACATGGATGAGAACACCCGAACTATTGGCATTGCAGCATAACCTTACGTTTCCTGAAAGTGCTACAGCTTCTCCTGTTACCTTACGTAGAGCACACAGATGTAGGAGGTTTTCTGTTGATCTCAGTGAAATGAGATCTTTAAGGTTGTTCTTTGCGGATCCAGCTTGTACCTCTGGTCAATTAGTAGTCGCAAGTAGAGAGAGTCAATACAAAATTCTGCATTTCCATCATGGTGGTTTAGATAGATTAGCAGCAATTTTACACCAGTGGCATCAGTTACTTTATCCAAGATTGAACGAGGATACTGAAGAAGGCCTTCCGTATAGGTATGATTTGTTTATTAATACTAAAAAAATATGAAATATTCATATTATAAAGTGTTCATTGTTCTTTTTATATTTTAGACATTTTATGGTATGTCGACCAGAGGTAAGTCGTGATGAACTACATCCAGAAGAGGGACAAGTACCAATGATCACCTCATTAGCATGGAAAGATTTATTGAATGAAAAAGGTCAGGTAGAAGATGATCTTGCACTTCGCAAAGGAATATTTTTTGGTGGATTAGAACCTGCATTAAGGAAAATTGTATGGCCATTTCTTCTTCATTGTTATTCATATCAAAGCACCTACGAAGAAAGGGAACAATTAGATATCATTCTAAAACAAGAATACGAGGAGATTCAAAAACATAGGACAAATATGAATCCAAAACAGGCAGAACACTTTTTGCGAAATGTGGTGTGTATTGTAGAAAAGGATGTTGTTCGTACAGATAGAGGAAATCCATATTACGCAGGAGAAGATAACCCCAATATTGAAGTAATGAAGTATGTTCACATTTAATGTAACAATGATAATGATTTTTAATTCTGTCTACAATATTGGTATATCTTTTTTTTACAGAAACATTTTATTGAATTATGCAGTTTATAATTCTCGCTTGGGATATACACAAGGCATGTCCGATTTGTTAGCACCATTGTTGGCTGAGCTCAATTCAGAAACAGAAGCTTTTTGGTGTTTTGCTGGTTTAATGGAAAGATCTGTAACTGTATGCACGCCTACTGATGTTGATATAGACAGAAACTTATGTTATTTAAGGGAATTAGTTAGGATAATGGTACCAGACTTTTATGCACATCTTCAAAAACATACAGATGCCTTAGAACTTCTATTTTGTCATCGATGGATACTTCTGTGAGTAATTAATCTTAAAAACTAATTAATCTTATAATTGCTATAATAGTAATTGTGTACAATTTTATTTCTAAAACGTATTACATATCTTACAGATGTTTGAAACGGGAGTTTCCAACTGAAATAGCATTAGTAATGTGGGAAGCTTGTTGGGTAAATTATTTAACAGATCACTTTCATCTGTTCCTTTGCCTTGCTATAATATGTGTTTATGCTGAAGATGTAATAGCACAAGATCTTAGAACGGATGAAATGTTATTATATTTTAGTTCTTTAGCCATGTATATGGATGGAAGTCTCATATTGAGAAAGGCTAGAGGCCTACTACATCATTTTCGCCAGCTTGTTCGTCTACCCTGTACATTAGTAGGACTTTGTCGTCCGTATGGTCCAGGAATGTGGGATTGTACTCATGACCCTGTTATAGAATGTGTGGGTCATGAAATTGCATCATGCCCGCATTTGTTACTGCAATCAGTATACGGCCGTACTTTTAAATGCTGTTCTTATGTGAAATAAATACGTTACAGACATTTCAGTTAACTAAAATGTTCTGAGTAATAACAGAAGTTAATGAAAGTAATATTTGACTCATATTCTATTTGTATGAAAAAATTCTTAATCAATTTAACATACAAGAAGGAAATTATACATTTGTATTATCAGGTTCTTATTTGTATATCTTATCAATTTACAAATGCTGATCTTAAGTTACCTGCCAGGTTAAAGTTGATTATAAATAAAAATCAAAAAGATACATTCTAATATTCAATGTTTTACAACAGCTCCTACGAAATAAATATTCTATTAAATAATTAGATAGAACTCATATGACCGTAACGAGTTCTAATTGAAAACCTGTAGTACAATTAAAGACTGATGACCAAATGAGAGTGGAGTAGTACAAGCAGCCTAGCTTTAATATCTCCAAACAAAAAAGAAAGCTTTCCATCACATAAACATATTTGTTAAATACAATTAATAAGGTGCCATTTTACAGCTTGGTACAGATTTTATGAGCCTTAATCTGAAAACAAAATCTAATCTGACATCAACAAACTAAATCAAATATTTGATATAAGGATTATAAAAATATTTATTACATATTCATTATATTTCTTGGTCAATTAATAATACACGTGTGTTCACTTTAGAATGTTCATCTATACAGTGTTTTCAACATTTCTTTTTTTACAAAACAATTTTTAAATTAATATTAATTGCACATGTTCACTGTATACATTGTATCATTTTCATCTTTAAATGTACCTAATTGTTTACAAGTGGAAATTTATAAAACCAGAATATTAATTTACATAAATTTCTATAAGTACCTTGCTGAACAGTTTCTTTTAATTTTTTCTAACCCATAGTGTATTTATTCTAATTCATTTACTCGGAACAAGTTATTATATAATATAAAAGACACATAAAAGAGTACTTCTTTTTATATATCAAATTATTTCATCGGTTTTCAAATATATATTTAAGTATTCTGTTATAAAAAATATATTATAGAAGAACGGTTGAATAGTTATTTGTATGGTAGTTTACAACTTCATGAACATGTGAATGAATTTCATATATTTAGTAACAATTTTCAATGAAGTTGAAAGACTTCATACAAATAATTAAATAGTTTTACTATACCACTTTATGTTGTTAGAGTATGACAAAGAAATCTATTTGTGTTAACAATTGACAGCACATCTAAGTAAACATAATATATAAATATAAATAAACAGAAATATGTATATACGTATAAAAATAAATTAAAATAAGCTTATATAATTATTTATTTATCTTTATTCGTCTATTTTTAGAAAATATATGTATACACATCTTATTTACTGTATACTATACTTGTACAGGTACACGGTATGAGAGGCATATTGTGAATACTTTGTTGGCAGTTTTACACATACCATGTATCAAAATATGTTTTGCAATATTCAAATTATATTTATTTGACTAATAATATTCATTTCATATATTTTTTTGTGCGCCATATAAACTAAACATAAATATTAGAAAATCACAGAACTGAATTCGTTTTTTTGTTTTAATGAGAAGCGCTAAATAGGCCATCCTCATTTTTTTTTGACACTAAGTATACATATTAATTACAAACTTATTCTCTTAACCTTCATACCGACTAATAGTTGATAGAACATTAGTGTTGGCCACCAAAGATTACTTATTTGAAAGACATTTTCTATACAGTAAAACCTGCATCAATAACAATATATACAAAATAAAAAATATAGAAAAGATAAAAGATATATGATACAAAAATTAACTTAAATTAAGCTTATTCATTTGGCTTGTACCTATAGTTAATCCCGACTTACACCAGTGTATTGTCAGTTTACTGTGACACATTGTGCTACAGTATTATTCATATTATTATTATTATTATTGTTGTTGTTGTTGTTATTATTATATTTTTTATATGAAAAAAGGATAATTTCTAATGGTGCTAAGAATACTGAAAATAAAATTAACATATATATTACCACAAACTACATTCATTCATCTATATTAATATATTCTTCAAAATAATTTATCCCTTATTTTAAAAAGGAAATATGATATAATTGTTTAAAAACATATTTTTTTCATGATATATCAATATAATATCATAATTTTAATTATGTATGTACTGTAAACAATCCACTTTTCAAAGGTACTAGATTTTCAAAACTAAGAGAAAAACTAATCCTGCACCATTATGTAATCCTTTTTTGTTTTTACGTTTTTGATTTCATACTTTGCAACTTTTCATTATAAATTTATACCTGTATACTGCAAATGTATTTGCATAAAATTGACAGATACTAAAATCATGCAAGCAATGGCCCAAATTATAACAAAAACGAGCCAACAATTACTAGAGAAAGGACTTGCAAATTTATTTACAACACCGAGACCTATAACTTTGTTTGTTTTCTGCCTGGCATAATATACCAAAAATGTTGGGATCAAATACTGAATTCCAGCTCCAGCGTAAGACCCAGTGATTCCAACTAATATTGATAAATCTTTGGTGCTCATTGCAATTAAATATGGTGGCAGTACTGCTAGTATTGGGAAGACCACTTTACGAAGACACAAATATGATGTGTCCTCACTGAGGAACAAAGATTGTAGATTATTTCTCAGAGTAATAGCTATAATGGGAAAGCTAGTACTCAAAGTAAATACTGGAAATAGCGCCAAAAAATATTCTATAAGAATGATACAAATATTGGTACTTTTGGAGCAGTCTCCAGATCCACGGGGACTAAAATCTAATGTGTAAAGATCATCTAAATGTTCAAAAGCGAATGTTCCCGTTAATGCCAACAGAAGATAAAAACACGCTATTATAAAGTAATCCAATGCTAAAAATCGATTTAAAGTAGTCTTATTTGCAATTGGAGCCACCAAAGCTGGTAAAGAATGATGACACATAAAAGAGTAAATACAGGCACCAAATAAACTAGGTATACCTGAAATATTATATTATATTCAATTGTGCTTGTTCAGATTCTAAAAGATATATAAGGAAACTTACCAACAATATTTGCTGCTGAAGGATTTCCTTGTGCGCCATGAATAATTAGATTTTTTAAAGCGTATACAATCATGATAGTAAATGCAAGCCATCGCATCGTTGATGTTAATAGTTGGAGATATTTTGTCTTCTGAACATTAACGAACACAAAAGGACCCAATAACAGAACAAATGTAGTCTAAAAGTAATATTTGGATTACAGCATAAAAATAAATTGGTTATTACAATATATATTAATACTTTTATATTTAAACATACAAGAAATATCCTATACGCGTCAAGTCGATTCAAAGCAAATGTTTGCCAACAAAGTTCAGTATCTGGTATTGTGTCATTGCATGTTATATTTATTGGTTGATAAGTGCAAGCAACATTAGCCAGGGTTTTTGCAACAGCTGCTCCATAAATACTCAAGTCTCCATAAAGGTAAATAGCAAAACACAGATAAAACAAGGCTGTACCAAACTTATTAAAAAAAATTGACGCCATCTGACCCATTTCTATTTTATCACGAATCACATAATATCTGTAAGTCATGTCCGTTTGATCAGGACTAATTGAAAATGGTGTAACAAGTGGTGTATCTTCAGAGTCCGAATTTGAAGGACCAGACTCTCCTAAGGTTTGAAGTACCTGCAATTAAAAGCAGCGAATAATATAACCTACTCTAATCGAAAAGCCACATTAAATGAGTATTTAAAGGACGGAACAATATTATCTTGCTGCATTTAAAAAACAAACAGATACACCGTCCGTTACATGAAAGTTGGCAAATGGGATGGCATAGGGGCAAGAGAGATTGCTCGCTGTGTGCTTTGTTTATAGTTTTGATTGGTTATGTATAATCGCATTGATAAATAGCAAATTAGAATTGAAAATGAGATGGGAAAATATAAAATCTGACCAATGAAACATGCATTTTAGATTCTTGCCAACTCTCATTTGATAGACGATACTTATAATACGAGTTATAGAAAAATCTAAAAACCTCAGATTCTGACTCGTTGAAAGATGAATCTTGAGAAAAACATACTCGTTTTCGATGTTGAATATGCCGCCAAGTTACTATAGCATTGGCAGATGCCATTACTTCAATAACAAATGTTACTGTAATAAAGCTATAAACGTGAAATAAAACATAAATATACTTTGTAATTAAGATATTTAAAATAAAATTTAGTAATATTATACCTTATAAAAGCTAATATTAAAATAATACTTAATCCCAGAGCCCATCCTGCTTTGCTGAAAACTGCGGGCAATGTTAAAGCTCCTGTACCAACAATCAGGTTGAAAATATATATAAGACCAACCTGAAATAATGAATTGATGTATGAAACTTTGTATATAATGGACAAAGAAAAACTACAATACAAATAAATAGCATAGTCAGCAGTTAGGAAAAGGTCTGTTTACAGTCGAAGGTTATGTGATATTATTTACATTATATTAAAATAACCTCAGACTAAATTATTGGCTTACCCATGTTGAATATTGGTCGCTTGAGTTTTGTTCAGGCATCTCGATTCAAGTTAGAAATTAAAATGAATCAGTCTGTCCGAGATCTCATCTACTGTTGTTACATATGTCATTGACCTAGCTATCGCTGTGTACTTTTCCAGCAACGATTGGAGAGCAACTGCTCTGAGATCACACAATCTTCATACAATGTCAAATTGTTTTTCTTTTCTTTGATTTGGAATGTCTCATCGACAATCCATACGATGAAGATAATATTATTACAGATTTTGTTCACATTCTTTAAATAATGTTAATAAGTTATAAATATATCGTACAGAACATGCAATAACCAAAATTTTAATTTAAATTTATATTAGATATTTGAATTAAATTATCTATGATGCGCGAAGGGTCTATGAATAGAAAAGATGTATTGTGCTGCCATCTATTCATATGTTAACCGCGTCTTGCAAATGATAAACAGTTGTCGTATATACCCAACCAATATGTATATTTAAATATACGTGTTTATGTTTCAATTCGTTTTTGGAAATATAATGATTAATTTAAATGAATTACTTATGATCTATCTTTAACTGATGAGGATATTATGGATGTGTGAAGTGTTAAATATATTTGATATATCTGGGATTTTTAACTAAAAAAATGGTATATACATTACACACGAAAAATATTCGGCAATTTAGTATAAGTTATTTTTCAACTATTTGACAGTAATGATTCTTAATAAACTGATGTTTAAGTACATATGACTGAACCTTAGGTAAATGAATTGCTTTCATCTTCAATTCCATTGTATAGTTCTAGAATTCTTAAATAATGGAATTTTCATAAGAGGATTAATAGATACCATTTCATTGAAAATAATTTTTATTCGACTGAAAATATAAACCTAGGTCTTAGAGTAATATAAATTTTTACCACAAATCTTACGTTACAATAATGAAAAACGCCAAACAGTACAAAAGCTACGGTTGTGTATAAAAACTACTACGTGAATTCATGCTAAATGAAACGATAAGTGATGACCGTTTTTTTAGCGCATTTTAGCTACAATATATACTAAACTGGAAATCAAGGACACGCAATTCCAGTAAAAGGGTATTGGAAAACTGCAATTTTTAAAAAAACACAAGAGTCAAAGCAATAATGTTTTTAAGAGTTTTATTTTATAATCCCATAAGTCTAAAGTAGTCTTTAAGATGTGTACGTGAATGGTCTTGCACAATACAATGGGAATAAATTATAATACTTTGGCTACGCTTGCGGGGTCAAAACCGTGTCTTTTTATCATTTGTTTGAGCGAACTTTTGGGATACTTTTCTGAGTCAGCGGCCTCCCCCATTATTTAAAAAACAAAAGAAAGGAAAGAGCCATCTTTTCCCTCAACGATTGGTAACAGTAAAAAAAAGGAATAATTAATAAATCGAAGGCCTATCTCCGCCGGGAATGATGAATTCTCAAAATACTGACAACAAGTGCCTTAAATACCACGGAGCAGAGTAGCGGAATGCATTTAATAGGAGAATACAAAAATTAATAGAACCTTTCGTACAGTAAAAATCCTAACTTAACAGTTTCGTCTTGCATCGAACGATGCTACAGAAAATAGTTTACGCAATGTTTTTCAGCTCAAACTCGCGACTACAAATTGGCAAATATAGCATACATGAGAAAACAATTATTTCATCGATCATAAAGGGTGGAAACATCGCGATGACATAAAAAAGATGTTTTCGTGAGGGTGGTTAGCTAAAAGCTACCGTAGGCATGTTATTTGAATATATAATACAAAGGATTCGATAGGATAGGAAAGGTGTTTAGGAATTCGGGGGGTACGTTTAAGATACAATAGTTTCTAATTAAATGATGAAAAATGAATGGAGCAAAGATGTTTAGGATTGCCTCTGTGCTAATTATGTCCCACGTACATCCGAATCGGAAGAAGATACCTTCGCTCCGGAAGAACCAAAGGACAATTATTATTGCGGAAGTTGATGTTACGTCCGCCTGCGAAACGAGACAGAGGCCGCTCTCGGGGATCGGGGAATGATAGTATGCAAGAGGAATATCAAAGATGTGCTTAGAAGCACTTCCTGTGGACGATGGATGGTCCAGACTCGTCGTATTCTTGTTTGGAAATCCACATCTGTTGGAAGGTGGACAACGATGCAAGAATCGATCCACCGATCCATACGGAATATTTCCTTTCAGGCGGGGCGATGATCTTGATCTTCATAGTAGATGGAGCTAGGGCAGTGATTTCTTTCTGCATTCTGTCCGCGATTCCAGGATACATAGTGGTGCCACCAGACAGGACAGTGTTGGCATACAGATCCTTACGGATGTCGACGTCGCACTTCATGATGGAGTTGTATGTGGTTTCATGGATACCACAGGCTTCCATACCCAGGAAGGATGGCTGGAACAGAGCCTCAGGACAACGGAATCTCTCGTTACCGATGGTGATAACCTGACCGTCAGGAAGTTCGTAACTCTTTTCCAGGCTCGAGGATGATGCAGCGGTGGCCATCTCTTGTTCGAAATCAAGAGCTACGTAGCAAAGCTTCTCCTTGATGTCACGGACAATTTCACGTTCGGCCGTGGTGGTGAACGAGTATCCTCTTTCTGTGAGGATCTTCATGAGGTAGTCAGTCAAATCACGACCGGCCAAGTCCAGACGGAGAATGGCGTGAGGCAAAGCGTATCCTTCGTAAATCGGAACAGTGTGCGAAACACCGTCACCGGAGTCCAATACGATACCGGTGGTACGACCGGAAGCGTACAGTGACAGCACAGCCTGAATGGCGACGTACATAGCCGGCGTATTGAATGTTTCGAACATGATTTGTGTCATCTTCTCTCGGTTAGCTTTGGGGTTCAGGGGAGCTTCGGTAAGGAGTACTGGATGTTCTTCGGGAGCCACTCGAAGCTCGTTGTAGAATGTATGATGCCAGATCTTCTCCATGTCGTCCCAGTTGGTAACAATACCGTGTTCGATAGGGTATTTCAGAGTCAAAATACCTCTTTTCGATTGGGCCTCGTCACCAACATAGGAATCCTTTTGCCCCATACCAACCATGACACCCTGGTGGCGTGGTCTACCGACGATAGATGGGAAAACGGCGCGAGGAGCATCATCTCCCGCGAAACCGGCCTTGCACATACCGGATCCATTGTCAACGACGAGTGCAGCAACTTCTTCGTCACACATGTTTGGTTTGTTAGTTTATCTGTAAGAAAAACAAAAGTATTTTCAATACCATTTCCGCGATCGTTCATTATGGCTCGAAAAGCTTATACAATATTTTTTACTTTAATTTACATATAGACCCAAATAGTATATTTTTTGGTCATTCAAGTACTTTTCCAATCATTTTGTATTCACATTTTAAGTAAACCGAATATGTAAATTATCTTTGGTCCACTTAAAATGTACAAATTATAATTACTATTTTTTTTATTCCGATTACAGTTTGTGATTTTTGTGGAATTCAACTTTAAATTGCTGTAAACGTACTTCTGTTATTTTATCATTTACAATTCAAATAATCCTTGTCACTAATAATATACAATCTCTTGTTCAGAGTTGTGCTCTAAAATTTTATTACATTCGGATACGGTAATTATTTAGTTTAATGAAAAAAAAGTAACAATTTCTTCATTGTTGTTTATTATTCATAGCAAATTGCTGTATAAACGAAGTGGCACAATCGGCAAATGCCATGTGCTGCAGATCAACATTTCAAACATTTTCAAGATGGCGTCAAAAGAGACACGTAGCACGTATATATACTATCGCATTCAAATAGCAAATGTTCGATGCGAAAAAGTCATATTTTGTTCGATAGTATGAAAAACGTTGCTGCATAAAACCGACTATGAGTTTTCTAGAACGAATAGAAATATTCTCCGAAAGAGAATCAATTCAGAAGAAATGGTGTCGGCGAAGCCGCCGTTACTGGAACCGCACCCTACCCTGCCCCGCCCTTCCCCGGCGTTAAACGGTCAATATCCGGCATATGCTTCCAACGGGTGAAATTTGACAAATTTTCAGAAATCAGAAGTCAAAAATGTAGCGATCAACGGAACTTGGCTCAATAATCAAATTACGACTTTGAATTCGAATAAAATTGTATTCACGCAACTACTCGTTCGTAAAACTCTTTGTATCGCAGAAACCGGTATTCTCGCATGGAAAGACTTTGCTTTTCTGCGGAACGAAAAGCGTCACTACAGCAATTTTCTACAATTTTGATATAATACAGTTACATCGAGACTCGAGACTTCAAGCACAAAACACTCTAAATACGGCACCAGTGTATCTCAAGCCTAACACCACCCACTTCTCGATTTGGAAATCCACGCTCGATCGTGCAAGCGATTCTCTGGAGTTAATTATCGTCCGCGCACTGTTTCGAATCAATTGCACTACCGATTTAATTTTAGTAAAATACATTGTATTGCGAGATATCACTGAACTTAAGTTGCTGACTTACGTTTTTCGTTTAGTATAAAAAAAGGTATGTACAAGTTGGGGAGCTTGGGTCTTTAGATGTGACACTACCGCACAACCGACCGATCTAGCACCAAACACAGAGTGTAGCTGACAGCCGGTTTGCAGTGTATTATATGAACAGAGTCGTTGTTCAGGACCCCCACTACCTAGCGATCGGCCAATAAGGACAGGACACCCTCAGCCAATCCTGGCTTTCTTTACCATATATGGAAGTGCCCTGTTACGGGGGGTTATCCCTCCCTCCCGGCCCACGGTGACGCTCGTCTCCCACGCCCTCTGCCAACCGTTCGAAGTACATAGGTATGTCTCACTACCCTTCGTGGATTCATCCACCAAATTGACTGAACCGCGCATCTTAACCGTGCCCACTCTCTTTTTCTCTCTCTCTCTCTCTCTCTCTCTCTGCCGATATATAAGTCTTTTCGATCGCATTCAATGTTAACCAATTTTTCTTCACTCGAATAATAAATAATCGTTTCCGGCATACGGGAATGCATTCCTCGCAGATTTTTCTTGGCAAATAAAAATCTAAGTCAATTCGCTTTGCACGACCGTTAAGACTCTGTATACAAGTGTATCGCTGAACGTTTTTTTTATGAACAAAGTAATTAACAAAGTAATTAACAAAATAATTATATATATTCTTCGCAAAAATATTAACCGAAATATTAACATTTCATATCGTTCGACATACATCTGAATAACTTTAATCGTATTTTAAGAAGTATACTGATAATAAGAAATCTTAAATTGCTCTTGTTTTTTATTTATAGAATATACTGAAGCGTGATTTCAATGTTAAATTGTCTGGATTTCATTTTTATTAGTGAAATTATAGAAAAACATTTTAACGTACATTTATATAAAGGCATTAGACAGACGCTCGGACATTATACAAAGAATGAACATTGAATAGCCGTTTCTGTAGGATTCCAATTCTTTAACTGATGACTCATTTACGATAGGATTTCGTGGTTCGAGCAAGCATAATCGTAGGTTAGTGCTGTAACACACTTCAGCGCACTGCTTGCTATTAATAAACGACAGCGTCGCGACCACCTGTGTTGTACCGCCTATACGTCAGAAACCACTTGACAACGACAACTTGTCGGATCGTTCCGCTACATGCTCTTTTCGCAAAATAATCTTAAGGAACAGAACATAATTTTTTTCCACGAAGGAACGCTACGTCACAAGATTCAAAGGCACAGAGAGCAACGCCCTGCCATCATGGCTGCTCGTAAACCGGCATTTGTCCTCGATCTTTTTTACCGTTAAAATTATGACAGATGATAGCGAAAAAAGTTAATTTAGTATCGAAGTTGAATAGAAAAGATTATATTGTGCAGGTACCCACCTTTTGGGACAGAAACCAACTGCAGAAACCGTTGATCGTTGATCGACAAAGGGACACCGCAAGGATACTATCGGCACGACGAAGCGAGACTCGACAGCCGCGAGTTGCAAGCACTGTGAGTGAGATCGTGGCCGGTACCGTGTTATGTGGACTTGCCCGAAGGTGTGGTTCGCATACACGTTAAAATTCTGATCGATCTCATTTATTTCCTGTTTTTTCATTATGTTTTCTCAATATATCCATACAATATCATTTGCCGGGTGACAGAGGTTCGAAACATTGAACATTTGACAATTGTTCGTTTATTTTAATGTTCATATTTCATAATACAATTTTGCTAAACACCCCTATTTCAGAATGGATTCGTCCAGCCGGCTTTCCCCACCACTCGGATTCACAGCTCTTGCCATATATGGGCATAAAACGAAAGCAGCTCGCTGATTGGTCTGCTGGCCGGCTGCCGGCTAGATTCTCCAAATGCCGCTTCAAACTGTACGATACGGGGAGCATAATGCCTTCTGGAAGCGTACACTAGCGTAAGGGCTTTCCTGACTAACCGTCAGAGCTGTTGTGGTAGTGTGCGTACAAATGTATGGAAGATTACAACCATTCTTTGAATGTGTAAGCGTGCGAACCAGTACCGGCAGTAGGTATGAATCAGAAAAGTTTTGTTCCATACTTTGAAATTATCAACATTTTCCTTTAATTAATGAATGCCATGACACTCGTCACGGTCACGCATTTAACCTCCATTTACAAATTTTCGACTTTAACGTTTAACTTGAAATTTTATTGAAATATAGATAGTCTCTTCCCATCAATTTCATATACATCATTTCCTATGAACAACATGTGATTAAGCCACAATTTATTATATTCTGATAAATAGATAGGGTCTTTGTTTTATCTGAAATGTATTCGGAATCTTAAGGAAATGGATGTCTTTTTTACTTTAAAGTATTCAACTTATGAATCATTCTATGAAGTCAAATGCAATATTCGAATTATTTAACCGTGTAAAGTTTTATACTTACTTTACTGCATTTAAAATTTACAAATCCTGATCATTTTTAAGTTTATTAAAAAAGAAAAATCGTATCGATAGCTATATTTCACGCTAAATTCGATGAGTAATACTCAAAAGATTCCAAGAATTTCGTCTGCCTATCTTTCAGGTATACTCGGTTAGCTAGTACGGCATATTTGAAGAGTGTGGACTCAAAGTAAATAATCGAGTACAAAATTTTAGCTTTATCTTTATATTTACTTGTATAATTTCTCCCAAGCAATTCAATCAAAAAATTATATCGTCTCGAGGTACATGTAAAATATGATTGATTTACAATAAATCGAATTTTGAACAAAACTTGAAATTTTTATAATCATTCTGTCAAGTACTGTGCTGGCTGCACTACATTTAAAATTTGTTCCATGGAATTATGGTTTACAAGAGCAGTCTAAAAAAGTTAGTGGGTCAGGTCTGATTACCCGCGCACATTCATCCATCAGGTTTCTCTACATAGCGGGACAGATGACGTTTCCTATATAATAAAACAATCTCTAATTTCCGAATAGTGAAAGAAGGATTCAGATTGAACGAGCAAACCAAATCGTTGCACATCCTCCCACTTAATATGTATGTGCTGTGTGCCATCTCGGCCGCCTTTTTCATGAAACAAGAGCTAAAAATAGACTCAAGGGCGCGGATAAGGGTGCACTGGACTAGTCCACGTCACATAAGCCCTACGCTACGATCGTATCGCTTAGTGTTCGTGTCCATTAGACACGAAAGATGTCCTAGTGTATGTGCGTGCAATGCTGCTGTAAAATCGATAGGCGTATTCACATACATAGTCTACTATGGTAGGTCGGACTTATGATGAGAAACCACGTGGCGATGAAAACGTCAAAGTCCGAACAGTCGTTCCGCGTGCAGTTCCTTCTGCAAAATACTTCGCAGACTGCATATTTTTTCCTGATTCCTTATTATTAAGGAGACGTCCACTGATAAGTACGGATACAATTTTTATAAATAAGTGAAAAATTCATCAGAATTTGCTTTACGGTGTATCTTCTATAAAAAGTTGATCGCTTAAAAAATGTGCGAATTCTAATACCTTCTCGAAAGATAATAAATTTAGAAGTTCTTAAATAGCTTTGCGATGAATTCCTTAATTGACCCGATACAATATTTTCGAGAATATCGGGGTTTCTCGGAATTCGATTTTTTATGCAAATTGACTATGTAATACGTACGTAGTTGTTGCTCGTCGTTGTTTAATCAAAAAATAATTTTAATAAATATAGAAATTGCAATAATATGATTTTGCAGGCACGCCTTTTCGATGAAATAGTAATACTATAACGTAACCGATGAGTCATTAGTGCTTGACGAGAAATTGTTGCTGGTTAGTGCACTCGTTTCTTTTCCGCGGATTTGCCAAATTTCGAATTCTAATTTTACACATGTATATGGAGGTTCACTTATAATGTTTCGTATGCTTACGGTTTTTGAAAGTAATCGTCATACGTGATACGCGTGTGAAATTTAAATACATGTCGGTGACTGTGTAATGTGTCACATGTGTGGATAGGTTGCTTCACTTATGTCTAACCTAACCTCAAACATTCAAGTCAGTGGTCAGCTGTCACATGCGTGCGATCATTCGATATATGCAGTTCGATTATCGTCAAATTGGCTATTCCTTTTAACTTCCTGTAATAAAACGCTTTAAAATGACCGTCGCTTTGTAAAAGTAAATACAAATAATTGAATACCGCCTTACCGGACAATAAAATGTTACTACATAAATTCTGTTTATCATCAAATACACAATAAAACGTTACATTTATTACTGTCATTAACGAGATCAAATACAATTAGAAAATGTTCAGTGGTTTCGAAGAAATGATAAAATTAATAACTTGGAGGAAATCCGTTTGAAATTATTCGATCCATCGGACAACACCCAGAATTTAGTCATCCTCGCACACCGGAACAAAGTAAAGAGTAACACGGGTTTTCGTAAGCCGAAAAACGGTTACGATATGTTTTATTGATGTACATATGTAGAATAACGTCATAACACACGTTGACATCAACCTTCGTTGACCGAACCGGCACCACACACAGAGACCGTATTTACCTTCGATATCGAGGGCTTAATTATCGTGACAAGACCACAATAGGAGGAATTATGTCCAAGTAAGGTGTAGGCGCATTGTGACCGGCCTGAAAACCCAATGGTCCGTGAAGCCTCGACCTTGCTTACCAAATAAGGTCCCGTTCAAGGTCTTCAAGGCCTTGCGTAAGTCTCCGGCAGTGCCATCGGCATAGCGATTAACCGATTATGTCGATGCTTTAGTCATCGGTCGTTTTCAGTGAAAGTGGTGCAGGTTTTTCCAACGGAAATGACTTCTTCTTCTGGGTTATCTGGCCCCCCCCCCCGGAGTTCAGTCCTTTCTTCTGCCCTACGAGGCGGATTGGGCGTGTCTGTCCTACGCGGACACGTGCTGTAGGTAACCGTCTGGCTCCAGTCGCGCAGTGCCACCGAAATCAATACGGAATGCGACGGTAAGTTCAACGCACCCACCCAGAAGAGTGCTTAAGGCTCTTTCTCATCGGACTAGCTGCGTGCGTTCGGCCCAGACAGTGAAACTATCGGAAATCACCATAACGAGGTCAAAGACCTTCCTATCAGCGAACCTTTCGCGAATTTTCGAATCGCGAGAACAGATGGGATCAAGGCTGAATTTCGTTCACAGCGTACTCGGATACTTCTATGTAGGTACATTCAGCGGGTATATTTGTGTCAGCGCCTGTCATGAAGAACATAATCATCGTGCGATCACTTTTAGTTTGAATTTGACGTACACGGGTCACGAATGATTCAGACGATCAGTGATGCTTACCGTCATCGAGGCGGTATCGGCAACAATTATTTTACCGTTGCGTTTAAATTGCGGTGATCGTTGGTGAAATCGCAGTTATTTAATCAAATAGAAAATGCTTGGGATATTGATTTGCTGTACGCGGTTAACGTTTTTTAATTAATAGTGTTTACCGTACCCTCTTTTTATGCTTTATATAATTCCCTTTTCTTCGTTTACTTGTTGATATATAAGACTTCATCTGAGGGTCTACATTTGTAACTTTAAGTTAAAATTCGAATGTGTAAAAACTGTGAATGTGAAATTAAAATGTGCAACATTTCTGCGTACATGAGAAATCTTTAACGTCCGATTAAAGAAGAAAAGCTGATTAGAATTAGAGTATTTATAAAGACACCCATGTTTGAATGAAATGTTGATATGCAATGACAGTGGCGATAGCATTAAACAAAAGACTTGACGAGTCATTTAATTTGAAGTTTGCACGATTAAAGAAACTTTTACGTATAGAAATAAATATTATTCGTAATTTTACGGTAAGAGGAGTGTCAAATGTAATTCCAATCTTTTAAACAATTTTGTACAAGAAGCACTACGCAAAACATACATGTATGTATTTCACTACGTAAAATATAATGAAATGAAGCATTTAACAAAGAAAACAATGTTTTTTCAATACATTGATTGTTATATTGCTCTGGAGGTATTAAAACGAAGTACGTGAATTTTCCATCAGTCAGTTTTCAATCTGTAAACGATTCACAACTATAAGTTAGAATCTTGTGAAGTAGAATTATGATTTTTTCGAAATCGCACCTAAAGCATTCTTCATAGACGTTTCTTCGGTATCTATCAGTGAAAAGGAAGGAGTTCCTTTTGAGGTAAGTAAGTACTTCGATTCTTCTTATAGTACAGTTAAGTCCCTATTCACGCGTAGAACTTGAATTGTTCTCAAGCAAGTGGTGACAGATTTCCTATACGTATATCGTTTTATCTCAAATACGACTCCATAACTTTTTCATTAATTAATGAGCTTTCTAGAAGCTGCATTAATTAACCGTATGAAATGAAATATATAGATGATAGATTATTATTATTGTACATCATTATGTACACAACAACATTCTTATAAATTTAATCTTAGTTTTGTGTCAACAGTGAAATATCAGTTTTATAATTTATTGTATGAAGCAGCGTTTCCTAATCGGCACGGCGCGCCGCTCAGTGCAGTACAAAACTCAATATTTACCTTAAAAAGTATATAAGTGATATAAGAAAATGTTCCAGACAAAAGTTTTAAAGTATAGAGCTAAACATATGGTGGTTATAGTTTTTAAGATTATAGAGATATTATGAAGTTTCTTAAATGACGATTTCAATGTTATATGAATAGAAAAACGGAATTTATTTGCACAAAATTATTTGAAATCAGATCTACATGCTTCGAAGAATAGATATAAATACCTGGTAAACTCGAAATGTTTGTAGGACAACCTTTAAACGTGTTAAACAGTGGTTATTATTTATTAATTTTTGGAATAAAAATCATTTTGTCTAACAAGAACTACTTGGCAACAAATTGGTAAACTTCAGTTTCGTTATGTGAATAATTGAGTTTTTGGATTTTGACCACGTGCGCCGATTTTCGAATCAGTGCCTATCCGTTAAAAATTGTTCCAGGTTCGCAAAGAAATAACAGTGTTTTTTTTTCTCAAAATATTATCAAACGAATTTTTCTACTTCTAATTAATAGAATAAACGCCGAATAAATTTATTCAAAGCCGGCACGATACATCTTATTATTATTTTGTCCCGAGCTCTTCAGATTATAAATCTGTTTACTTTCGTTGTTATAACGAATGGACATTCATTTATTTCAGTTTGTCTTCCTTCAGTGTAAAAGTTTATTTATTATGATATGATTCATTTTACAAAATGTTTCTTTTTTAACTCCGTACCTTACCGGCTCGCAAAAAATGCCACGTTGTTTCGGTGCGAACGAAAAAAGTTGTGAACCGGTGGTGTAAAACACGTAAAAATAAAATTAAGATTTTTAGAGATTTTGGGAGAATGAAGCGCATCATCCTAGTTTCTAGAAATATCGAGTAAAGAACATACAAGAAATCTACCACTTTTGGAAAAATTATGAATTTCCAATCGAATCATTCGTACTTTGTAAAAAAAGTAAACATAAAGTATATTGAAATACTGTTCATCCAAGTTGAGGAATTAACTTAATTCACAAATGTGGATTATTGTTTTATTGTGCAATTTCAATATTATTTTTTGTATAAAGGATTTTTAATAAACTAGTTAAGGAAAAGAAATAATTTAGATTTTTATGAAAATTTGGATGAAAAATTTTGTTCGAAAATGAACAAATTTAGTATTTCGTATGAAAATCAAAATCGGTAATGGTCGGTAAACATATAATTTCCATACCTTGATCCTCTCAAATTTTTCTCGAACTATTACTTAACATTCATCCATAACACAGAATGAATTGCACAAAATACTTCCCCTGTAATTTCCATTGTTAGTGGTCTGATGAAGATTATTTTGCCATAAACACTATTTATTTCTTACGAGCAGTTACTTGTGTATCGGTTAACGATTATTCAGGCAAGTTCAATGGGATTAACAAGAAAATTGTTTCATTTATAGGAATGATATGACAAGAGAAAGTGTTCAGGGGAATGGTGAAAAGTAATTTGGGGAAGATAACTTCCATAGATTAAGCAATACATTTGTGGTAACGAGAATTAACAACCACGTTTCGGTGTGGTACGTTTCTTCACGGTTAATTTCTGGCCGTAAGTAACAGTCCTCGTTGGCGATTGTGAAGTATGCAAGGAATCCGGCCGGAGACGCGTGATAATACGCGATCACTATATTTAGTGTTGACTTACAGCTCGTCAGATTGAGAAACAGTGACGTTGCGCGTCGTTCCGAGCAGCTGACGATAAAGAAAACGATAATGGTCGGTGCCCAGACTGTAGACCTGTTATTCGCATACGACTCAACTTCGACTGGGAATCTGACGATGATTCAAACCACTGGAATTACTCTTGGAATGAATTCCGTTGTTATTCGGAATCTGTTGTTACTCGTTTATCGTTAATATTACTTAGTCACAAATTCAGTTTTTCTGCGTCTGAGTAAGGCAGAAAGTTTTACATAACTTCTTAATCATATTACTTCGCTTGGCTCGTTTTCAAGATAAACACGAAACCGTTTCTTTAATGACATTATAACTTTCCAAGTTTTCTTGGTTTAATCGTGATTTTAATTCTTTACTTTCTTCTTTAAGCCTGAAAAACGTTTTTATTATTATTTAATACAAATGGAGTAAACATTAGTTTTCAATGAAACCATATATCTTCATTGTCAAAAATACAATATGTCCATGTTAAGCTTTAAATAATCCACTGTACCGATGTAGAAATATAAAATTATGAATTTATGTATTGACACGACAATGCCTGTAACTTATTTATGTAGTAAGTATAATTCATTTACATATAACAACTTTAGAGTAAGTGTTAAGTTTATTTGCTAGTAAACGTTATTAAAGTCAATAAACTTCTCCTAATATAATTGCAATCATTTCTACGCAATCAATTATGGTTGAAGTTTTATACATGAAATCGAGTACTTAGATAATAATATTTTTTAAAGAAGTTTATTACAGAACATTAGATACATGCTCTAGAACTATGTAACTTTACAAATACATATTTGTGTTATTATGGAGCCTATAATTGAAAATAAATTAAGATAGCTAACATATTAATTTTCATTTGTTTATAACAGGTATGTAATTTGAACTGAATGATTAAACAATGAAAATACATTAACAGAAGTCAAGAGTAGAAAAACAATAGAAACGTTTCTTGGTTTATAATAAAAAGTTCAATCAGCTTTCAACTAACACAAGGATTTGAATAAGCTTTCCAAATCCAATCCATTGAGATTAATATAATCATTGCATCACGAATCATTTACAGTTTGAAAACAGTACGACTTTTTAAAAAAATTTCTTAAAAAATCATTATTTCACGATAATTTTCTTCCGAGTAAATAATCTGGTGACGTATTTTACCTTAAAATTGTTGGAATTTAATAGTAAAAAGGTTGCTTAAGATATCTCCACTCGCAGAAATCATGTCATTGAAGCCTTCTTGCTTCTTGCTGGCGATACTCTTCCCGATGTCGATAAGATAACTGTTAGATATCATGGATCGAAGGCGCTTAAACTTTTATAAATTTCTAATGTGTCATCCTAGCGTGGAAAGTTCTTTCCAGATAAAAGGATATCCAGTGATGCCCACTTATAATTAGTAGTTACGGGTCTGAAACCTTCCAACGAACACTACGGAGGAAAGCAGAGTTCCGAGAATGACCGCCTGTCTTCTTTCACCGATTCGCCTGCTTCTGAATGGTTTTCACTGTAGAGTGGAAAACACCGAATGCTAATGAGTTACGAAGAGGTTGTGAAGCTAATTCTAAGAATTATATCGTAGCATGCGGCAATTAACTGGGCAAGAAATGTGAACATTCAGCGGGCAGCAATGTATTCAGGAGTTAGATATATTCACTAAGTAATTATTTATATAAAAATTAGATATTTTCATTCAGTAATTACTTGATACGATTGAAAGTATTGAAACGTTTGCTGCGACTGATTAATCAAAACTTGTTTATTTTTCGTATACGAAGACACTTGAAAAATAATGACGGTGCAACGTTGATACTTGCATGAAAACGGAGCTGAAAATACATACCAGTTCACGCAATTAACGTGGAAGTAATCAGCCATGTACACCTCATGATAGTTGCAATAAGACATTCCTCCTTCTACCATCGCTTTTTAATTCATGTGTTCGCTTTTTGATCATTATTGCCGTACAATAACGGAATGTAGTCGACGAGATTTGCTTGCAAATTATTGAGCCATTAATTAACATTTCTCTAACATTCCAAATCGATACTGTTGATGATAAACTAGCTAGAATTCATTCTGAAAACTTAAATAGTTCCAGAGAGTCCAATAATTTGATATTTAATATTTCATAATATAAAAGAAGCCAACAGTTCTGCCGAACCATCCACATTAAGAATCATATTTTCTGATGGTTATACTTTCATTAACTTTCTAAATAAAATTATGCCGAACAACTGTGACACCATAAAAGTAAGTAGACTTGATAAAAGGATTTCAAACAAAGATATCATATCTGATTGAGAGGAAAAATGACTATGAAGAACACATTAAAATTTCAGTAGACCAAACTAAGCGGCAGAGGAATTATCTTCTTGATCTAAGAAATCAACTAATTTCTGTCAACGACCCGCGCTTACTTACCATTCGTTATAGAAATAGAGTGCCGATAATCTTTCGGAGAACCGCTGCTGAGACAACAAAAACGACGTCGTCTGTTTACATATTTCCAAAACGCAAGAGGTCTCCGTACCAAACTTTGCGAATTGTCACTTTCGTTATTATCGTCCTGTTACAGTTTTCATGTTATTGTGCTGGTGGAGACACGGTCAAAAATTGACATTTTAACCGCTGAACTAGCTCTTAACGGCTATTCTGTTTACAGATGTGACAGAAACCCAACGAATAGTTCTTTCTCGAGAGGTGGTGGGGTACTAATAGGTATTAAAGACGATTTAAAATTCTCTTTATTTATCAGTATATTAAACACTATAACACATTTTTTTCTTAAAATTCGACCAAGAGATAAAATGTTAATTGTAGGTGGTTTACATATTCCACCCAACTTTCCGCCCTCTCCCTTTATCATGAACACTGTATCGGCCTTGATGAAATTATGGATGAAATCAAGTCAGTAAATGATGATCCATATGTATTTAAAACCGGTGGCGACAATCTGCCCAATATACACTGGCATACAAATTCTCTTAATATATTATATTATCTCCTACTTTAGTCATCATGTAAACAATAATCTTATTACTGCTCATGCGTTAGCTGGATTTTATAATATACGTAATCTAAAGCGATATAATAGTACTAACAGCGCTGATGGTAAAAGTCTACATCTACTATTCGCTAATTTCCAAATTCCTGAACTCTCCGGCTTCACAGAATATTTCTTACCTTCGGGCTCATATCATCCGACTTTCTCCTTTTCTATTAATACATCAGAGTCTGATATCAATTACTCTTATCGCTAGAAACGGAATTTTAAAAGAGCTAGCTATCTGGATATTTTGAATTATTTTAACGCGATTGATCGGGATACTAGCCTTACCGATCTATCGGTCGATAATGCAGTTAACCTTATGTACTACCGCATTAATGGCTCTATTTATGAACATGTCTCCTGTGTTAAGATAGTTAACGACCACTTGACCAATCTGGTTTTCTACAGAACCCAAAAATTTAATATATAATAAAAATATAGCTCATAATACTTGCCAACAATCAAATAATTGTGAAGATTACCTTCAGTTCTTTTATTTATGTGCTAAATGTAAGCGTCTTTTAAGACAAATTATTCAAATTGAATGTATAATGCAGAAAATAATTTATCGTCGAATCTAAAATCTTCCTGGGAAATTATAAATTCTTTTAAATCACACGATCCCAACCCTAAAAGGATGCTCTTTGACAATATTGAACTTGAATCTGATCAGAGTATAGCTGACTCCTTCATTTTTGTTCCTTATTCCCATATACCATTACTCAAAATGATTCAACACTGCACCCCTATCCCGAAAAAACTATTAATACCAATCTCTAAATGAATTATCTCAATGAACTTTGAGTTCACGTATTGTAACGAACGCAATTTCAATAAATGAAAGTGAGGACGAAAATTTCTAGTGTAATGCAAAATTTTAATGTTCATTACTTTGGAACCAATTCTCACTGCCAAAAAATTTAAAGTCGCGGGTGTACAGAACAACAACCTTAACAACATACGTCAAGATCAAAGTCGTACGGTGGTTACTCTTTTTGTAAATAAGTGTGAAAACTCCCGTATTCCCGGACATATTTTTGCGAATATCTGGAAAACTAAGGCCGAGAGGCGGTAACACGTATAGGGGAAAGCTGTTCGGGATCAAGTCCCCCATAACATATTTCAGGGTCATCCAAATCGGTGAGAAATCAGTGTTGTAAATAGTTATTAAAACTAATTGCTGGGTGAAACTTCAAATTTCAAATTTCATTTCCTTTTTGCTTATTATTTTATTACTTATTGTATTATATTGCAAAACTCTTGCTTTGTAAACTCCTTACGCTTCACTTATATCTCCTCCTTTTGTATACTAACGGGCATTAATAAATAAATAAATTAATTAATTAAGTAATATAAATTCGTTAATTAAAGAGGTTAACGGTGAACAAATACATTACTCTATAAGTATGATTGTGTATATAACTTTATGGTTACTAACTACTTAAGCGTATCTTGACTTTTGTAGTATAGAAATTATAATATCTTGTTAAGTAAAGAATAAGTATATAGAAATTACACACGAAAAAATAATTATATTTCATGTTACGGAGAATCGATTATTTATTGATAAAGTTATTCTGCACATTGTTTTCCATTAACACTTACACTTCCATTAAATGTTTGCGCTTCATATTTGTGAGAATCAACCACGGGCATTAAAAAAAAACAGTATTTAATATTGTCCAAAGAGTTGCTATTTATCAAAAGAATAAATTGAGAACCGAGTTTGTTAGGAGCTCAATGGCAGAATGATTAAAATATCAAAAATATTTCAAGAATTAATTTCGGAAATTTCGAATAAAAACTGTAAAATCCAATTGACCGTTTGAACAAAAATCCTATATGTTACTTTCTTTTTTGAACAGATTTTGGGGAACGTAATTTATTATATATACGTAAAAACACGAAAACGATTTTATTTGTAGCAATAATGATCGGGTTTGGTATTTAATTAGCCAAATTTCCATACATTGACCAACTCATGGAGTCACCGCGTGTCAATTTAAATAAGCGGAAGGACGAAATCGTCGTTTTTGGTAATCCTGACAGTCCACGACCGTGTTCCAAATCCTTGACTTCGCGTGAATACGCACACAAGTATGTAAGGAAACGGAGTCAAGAACGCAAGTAGCCGGTAACACATATGAACACATTCGTTTTACCGGTTGTCTACCTGTTCTGGGTCAGTCGCGTGTGCAAGGTCAAATCCCATGAATCTCCAACGTCACTCGCGGAGTTGAAGACCACGAGTCTTGTGCCGCCCAGAGCAGAATTATTCTCGAATCATTTTTCCCTTCGATTCGCCGACTCATCGCTACAATTATGTTCCCCCTTTGAGGCGAATTTATTGTTCTTCATTCTTAGTATTATTGTACGAAAGACGGGAGAGGTTAATTATAATTTGCACGAAAACTAAAGGATATTATTTTATTAAATTTCAAGATGAAACATTTACTGTACGTATCTTGATAAATCGAATTGTTTACACAATTCTAATTCGATGCGTCGTCTTTTCAATTGTTAAAAATGAAAGGAACGTATATTTTTATTTAATGGAATAATATATAGTGTTCTTTATTTATTTCAAAATTCAGGACTGCAAATAGCGAATTTAATTTTGAGGAAAAAATGTTTCATGATAAAAATGATTACTTATGAAATGCAGAATGTAATATTCGCTGCGTTCAATCCGAAAATACAATAGTAAAAGTATTCAGAATAATAATTCTCTAAAATATTAAGTCGGTGCTTTGCAATCTGTTTCTCTTACCAAGAATAATATTTTATACATCCAATATATTAAAAACTATTTACCCAATTGATTTTTCATAATAATTTTATTGGAAAAAGTAGCATGCGGAAAGTAGCATACATATAAAATCTATCGCTAATATGTATTAATACGTATTGTAAAGTGTTTATAGAATTATTATCCTTTTAGTGTTTTACTTTTAACAATCAAGCTGATACCACAGGGAGCAGAAACGTATATATTCATCTCTTTCTTAACTTGTGTTTTCCCATTTTATCCCGTACTGTGGTACGTATGTGGAGCAAGATAGACTGAGGAGTAAGATGAGACTGGTGAGGAATCAAAGCAAAGCATGCTTTATTATTTACGTATTATATTTATTGAATATATAGGGTTATATTATAAAAAATATATAAAATAAATATATTCATACATACATGTACGTTATACTGTACAGAAACAGACAATCCTTTAATATGTCGCTAATTGCTTTTTTCATATTCTGTTTTCTCCACTCGTTTCTATTGGTTTTATTGGTCCTATTGGGCTCTACCTCAAACTTTTAATATGCATATATAGTACTTAAATCGTTAGAGATTGTTTCCTATGTTCCTATTGTAACATGATCTAGAATTTCTCGCATTTCGTTATGCTCAGACACAATATACCCATAGGTTTAGAAATTTTAATAATTCACAAATAATGTAAGAAAAGGAAATAAAAGTGTTTGTGTCAAAGAAGGACTGACACACTTTTAATTTACCTACACAGTATGTAGTATGTACTGTATGTTGCATCGAATAGTCCATTTTTAAGTATTAAAAATTTATTTATTAGTATTGTATTGTCATTTAGAGAGAATATACGTATTCGAGGTATAAGAATAATATTAGTAACATTATTAATATTAGTGATATTATATTAACCTTTTCCGATACATTTTTTTCGAGGTCTATCGATTTATGTAAATCTAATCTTCCAAATGTTAACCATATCTCTTTGTTCTGATCACTAATGGATGCTATTGACTGTTTTATTGTACGAATCGATCGACTATTTCTTATGCTTTGAATGTTAGCAGTTTTTATGCATAATAATGCGGATTGTGATGTATAAGTGAATAAACTTTTAACTCTTACAAATGGATTTTCCGAGTAATAAAATATTATTATTTAAGTATTAAGATGCTACTTTTTATATAATACTTTCTTTTTAATAAAGTAGATAAGAGTAAGATAACTATTGGAAGCAAATAGTAAATAATAATGATTGAATCAAGCATATGAATACAAAGCGGCGTTTATTTTTTTCTACACGGAATAGTGGCAAAACACTACTCTTCATAATTATGATAATTGCAGAAAACAGAAAGGTGTATAACTGGTAAATGTCTTAATCTACTTTTCCTTCAGCATCGATTTTCTTTAATTTTCTAGAACACTAGCGTGTAATTGTTCATTTTCAAGCTTTTAGTAATTAGAACGGAATAATACAAAATGGCGAGTCAGTTAAATTTTTATCTCAGGAGGACATGGAGAAATTATAATTTTTTATATGTGTATATATATTTAAATTTAAAATGGACGTTATAAAATGTTCACCTTACCAGAAATATTCCCGTATAGAATTTCTATTTCTCGGTGTCTTCATTCTCGTCTGTCTTCGATTAATATGTAAAAATGTCGGTAACTGTTATTTTCAATGTCGCACGAGTGAAACTGTTAGTCTCCATAGTCTAATACCAGGGAACGTATTAGGTTCTATACATTGTCAACTTTTTAAGGCTTTGGAAATTTACACGCATGGATGAT